CACGGTATTGACATCTACACTGCGCCCGCATAATTATACAGCCACCTATGAATTGCAAAGAACTCTCGTCTCGAGATGTATTCGAAGAAGACTCCATATGGAAAAGGTTGTAGGTATAAATGCTATTTTGCACACCAACTCAAAGTTCAGCTTCGAAATTTGAAAAAAGTTTTTCTGCAATTTTTCGAAAAAGCCGCTCTGGCCTATTCCGCAAAATTATACAGCCACCCCATATTTTTCTCTTGCTTTTCTTTTCTCCTCGATCAAACTTTTTTATTGTTATCACCACTTCTTCTTTGGGATGAAAATAAGAGGGATGTCGCCATCAGAATTTGAACAAAGGCTCGAATTGATCAGGTGGTAGCAAAATTCGTGGGGTGGAGGAGTTGGGAAGCAGTATCGGCTGCGCAAGGATTCGGCCATAAACGGTTTGGAAGATCAGGAAGGTAAAGCAATCTCGGCATTGTGCAGAATATGGAGTAACATTAAAACACTGAAGATCTTTCTTTGCTTTCGGATTCAGATAGACGCCGCCTCATTGGAAAATCGACAGTTCCATCAAGGTGTGCTCGGAAATCAACCTTATTCGAAACTTAATTCTCCAACAGGTGTCTGTTCGGCGTCTGTGGCAGAACTGCAAGTTCATTCACGAGTTAGAAATGTAAAGCGCATTGTTTCATGACAGCCAAAACATCTCAAAGAAACCGAGACAGTTTTGTCAAGAAGTGAAGCCGAGCGAGGAGTGAGGTCGGTTCTTTACCTGTCATTTCTCACAACTTACCTGCCTTTCTTCCGAAGTTCTTTATCTCCAGGATACGCTTCTCCATAAGAAGAAGTTATCTAGAGTAAGAAAATGTTTCGAGAAAGGAAGACAAGGCGTAGGAAATGACAGGTAAAAAACCGACCTCACTCCAGTCGGTCGGCTTCACTTCTTGACAAAACTGTCTCGGTTTCTGAGATGCTTCTGTTGTCATAAACAAAGCGCTTTATCATTTCTAACTCGTGAATGAACTCGCAGTTCTGCCACAGACGCCGACCAGACACCTGTTGGAGAATTAAGTTTTCGAATAAGGTTAGATTTCCGAGCACACCTTGATGGAACTGTTCGATTTTCTAATGAGGCGGCGTCTATCTGAATCCGAAAGCAAAGAAAGATCTTCAGGGTTTAATGTTACTCCATATTCTGCACAATGCTCGGAGAAATTGCTTACTCTACAGCAAACTTGGCCCGAAATTTGGGCAGTGTGACTGCTTCCCAACTCCTTCACGAATTTTGCTACCATTAGCCTTTGTTTAAATTCTGATGACGACATCCCTCTTATTTTCATCCAAAGAAGAAGTGGTGATAACAATAAAAAAGTTGATCGAGGAGAAAAGAAAAGCAGGAGAAAAATATGGGGTGGCTGTATAATTTTGCGGAATAGGCCAGAGCGGCTTTTTCGAAAAATTGCAGAAAAACTGTTTTCAAATTTCAAAGCTAGAACTTTGAGTTGGTGGGCAAATTAGCATTTATACCTACAACCTTTTCCATATGGAGTCTTCTTCGAATACATCTCGAGACGAGAGTTTTTGCAAAATTCATAGGTGGCTGTATAATTATGGCGGAGCAGTGTATGTGTTTAGTGCCGGTCAAAATCTGAGTCGCCTGTTCCCAGTAGATGGTTCCAGCGTGAAGAACGGAGCTCCACAAACATATTCTTTTTTCTTGTCGTTTGGCATGCATCATCTCGTTAATTTAGTTGATTTTTACGTCGCTTATTCAATCTTAGGGGTCTGTCGAGCTCTCAAGTTTGAACAATCCGTGACAGGAAATCGTGCTAGAAGATATCCCGAATGCATCTATATGCCGTTGTTAATTTGTTATATTTATTTAATTCATGGAGTCTATTATGGATCGCCACTGACAAACAACAGCTTGACATCAAAACGTTTTCAGCAGGCTCCTTTGTTACTATCAGCGATGAACGAGGACAGCACTCAGAACATCCACTTGACTGCAGTGATGTCCAAAAGGACAAAGAAGCAGCGATACGGACGTTCCATGACTAGGATGAGATCAGATCCGACTCTTGGACGGCTATCAACAATAATATTATTTATCTGTCCCCTTCTCAGCCCTTGTTATGACCCATGCTGACCTAAGGAATCCCAAAACTCGACTCTTTATTCGAATATTATCCATGTAAGCGGTCTGGGGATGTGCCGCGGCATGAGGGAGTTTTTAACTGAAGCACTGATGTCTTCCGATCTTTTGAGCTCAACCTCAAATAAAAGAGGAGAAGGAAAACAAGTTAGCCGTCGTTACATGTAGCTGTCGTGGCAACCATCTACTAACACGGTTCTGTCAGAATTTTTACCTAGCATAAGTTCAAAAATCGGCACTACTGTACTGTTACATTACCCGAATTTTCAGCGATATCTGGCTGTGCCCCCAACATGAGAAGAAGAAATGGGAGGGAAGCCAATAAACAGCTAAGATCATAGAAACCAAGCGACAACATCTAATCTATCATGATTCACTGTGATTCGTTTACAGTTCTAAAAGGAAAATTTCATACAGCTCGCATCGAAAGGTGAGTTGCAGGACACAGTTAAAGTGGCGCTATTTCCACTACCACCACTTTCTGCCTTACAACTGTAATAAATATCTAAAGGAAGGCTCCATTTCTACCAGTCAATTGGATGAAATTGCTGGAAAAATGGCTGATATAAGCCTAGCAAACTTACCGGATATTCGACACGGTGAGGTGACCCTCTCACTTTCGCTTTATCGGAAAGTGAATGCCCCGACCCAAGCCGAGCGAGTTCCAACATTTCATGTCATCGGGGTAGCTTCAAATCTTGTTCTGATTCGATGCGAGATAGATTTGTGTCGCATAATTTGCCGATTTTAAAGTCATGTACATACGTGCGAAGGAATGATGACCTTCGTAAGGAATGTGGCCCGAGGAATCATCGCTCGGCTCGACCCACTCACCATCAAGCAACTGGCATATTGACAAACATGCGCTCATTTGCAGTGCGCTTGCTGATCTATCCAAGCAAAAAAATAGTGAGCTAGCAATTTTACAGGATTACTTACACAATAAGGGAGAAAAGTAGATTGCCAAACTAACAACTGAACCTAAAATTATTAAGAATAAGAAAGAATAAGTTAGACTTCCATTTTGCATGTGCTCCTTATTTGTATAACAGATGCTTGATATTCTGCCTTACCCCTCAAAATTAAAAAAAAACAGTAAAGACCGTTGAACCACGGCTTTTAAGCATACTTTTGGCGCTGTAGGTTGCACGGCTGAAACTTTCGGATATCCTTCGATGCTTGTTCATTGACCAATCATGAGCACTTTTTGCCATTCTGAATAATATCCACAAGGGGGGGGGGCAAGAAAAGAGTCACTCTCCCTCCGCATTTAAAATGGGAATTAACTATTATACCAATCTGCTATCTGCCCAAACTAAAAGATACGAATTGGAAATTGCCTATTTCAATCTATCAAAAAACCTTCATGAGCCTTCCATGCCGACGACATCAGAAGAATTAGCCACGGGGGACATGATGTACAGTATGAGCTCAACATGGTCGTCGACGGAGCGATGATTACGAAGTTAGAAGCAGGTCAAAAGGGTTCATGCATAGTCAGAGCTTGTCTCTAGGAAGCTATAAACGCTCCATGAAGATATCGTTGAAGCGCCCTTAAAACTAATTAAGGGCAAGAAACTTCGCCTTCGGGGCTGGTGGCAGTGACTATATGAAGTTATCGAAGAAGGTACCCATCACTTTATCGCTGGCGCACTTCAAACGCCATGTTGTTAAATTACTGCTGAGCAAAGGCAGATCTTAACCTAATGTTCTCAGAGACTAATTAACAGCTAATTCATGATTTATATTATTTTTGTTTGGTTGTGTGCAGGTTTCTGTTTGATAGTTCACATCATCGTTGTTGTTACTTTCTCACGTTTGCCTTTCGCAGGCGTAATAAACATAAACATAAACATAACATATGTAAAAGTTTGGAATAAAATGATGTACTAGCCTCCTTTGGTCAAAAAGAAGTAAGACTCAAGTGGCGGCAAATGTGAGGCCGTTCTTGTAGCCCCAAGCCATCAGCCACGGAATCTGCCAATAATATTTCGTTGAGCAGTACTTATTACATAGCCGCGCCTTCTCGACTTCATTGCCTCTATTTTTTTGTCCTATTTGCGATCGCGTCTTGAAACATATCTGGGTACCCATTTAGAATTCTTGTAGTGAGCATTAGGTATCAAGTGAAGCATTCGGTAACTATATTTATTATTCAGTAATCAATGTGTTCAACTTTCCTCTTTCGATGAGAGCTGTAGGGAAATTTTCCTTTAGAACTTTTAATGAATCACAGTGAATCATGAAATTAAGGGCCTAACATTCCTGAGGTTTATTGCTTCCCTTAATCTCTCTCAGGACACAGACAGACATCGCTGAATTCGGGTAATGTAACAGTACAGTAGTGCCGATTTTTGAACTTATGCTAGGTAAAAATTCTGACAGAACCGTGTTAGTAGATGGTTGCCACGACAGCTACATGTAACGACGGCTAACTTGTTTTCCTTCTCTCTTTTATTTGAGGTTGAGCTCAAAGTCTCGAACCATCACATGGTCCAGTTAAAAACTCCCCTCATGAGCGCACATGCCCCAGACCGCTTACATGGATATATTCAATAAAGAGTCGAATTTTAGGATTCCTAGGGTAAAAACAGAGCTCTATATACTCACATTGTCTGAAAAACATTCTTTGGTATACCGGTAGGTGCTTAGGTCAGCTTGGGTTAACACAAGGGCTGAGAAGGGGACAGGTAAATAATATTATTGTTGATACCGTCCAAGAGTCGGGTCTGATCTCATCCTAGTCATGGAACGTCCGTATCACTGCTTCTTTGTCCTTTTGGACACCACTGCAGTCAAGTGGATGTTCTTAGTGCTGTCCCGTTCATCGCTGATACTAACAACGGAGCCTGCTGAGAGCGTTTTGTTGTCAATGTAGTTTTCTCATTGCGTCCAATAGACCCATGA